CAGTACATTCCATCCATTTATGCTTCTTTGGATAGTCTAGTAACAAATATCACACGCGAGTTTTGTAACGCTTAATCTAATTTTTTAAATTGTTAAAAGTGTGGTAAAATACATGACATATTTTTTTCGTAACATCAAAGGTTTTTTTTGTAATGAATTGAATATTCATCTTAATATAATATTTTAAGCGAGCTCAGACAATATGAAATGAATTGCCAATAATAGATATTTACAATATAATATTTTCCCTCTAGAAGAAAACCGTTAGTGAAGAAATATTTTATTTTTCTCGTTAAAACGAAACAAAAAACTTATCATTGGCGGTAGCTTGAATAAGAATATATCTTAATTACATTTTGATCAACATATTATTTATTAAATATGAATAATTATAGGTATAAAAAAAAAAGTACCACCATTTGTTTTATTACTTGTACGATATAAGTCGTGATGAAATTCTAGTTAACAGAATAATAGCGAACAACATTCAGATTTGTATATTGTAATAGTGTCATAAGATTATCAGTACAATTGACTACAATGTTGGCTACGGAAAAACCGCCATCCTTTGAAATAGAGAGTATTCGTGTGAGAATCATTGCTTCATTTTTTTACTAGTGTGTTAAACAGCGGAACAGATACATTAAATTACTGGATATGAAAGAATTGAGCACAAAACCGTGAAAAATTGAGTTTTCAACGTAATTTCGTACGAAAACACGCATAATATTTTATTAAAATAGTACATGATTTGATTTTTAGTCAAAAAAAGTGCAAGATCATCATATTTGACGAAGAAAAGAGTTTACTTAACATTAATAAAAACAACTTATTGAAGCAGATCGACATTTTGAATTACTGCTAAACAATGGATTATCATGTAGAAGAGGAAAGAAAAAGCAGCACATTTGGAAGAAACATTGACGGAAACGGATGATATAAATAAGAATAAAGAAAAGGAATAAATAGTGCTAAACTGCTACAAAAATCATTTTTAACTTTTACCAAAATTCTCTTATTAATTATGCGAGCTTTCGACGTTATTCTAACATCGTCATCAGGCATGAATAACAACTATAGTGGCATTTGACTATTATATGCATAACAAAGAACGAAAAGAGAAATAGTCTTGCACGTTTCACTTTATATTAGAATGTAAAGTTGAAAGAACTAAGCTTATTATGATCGAAGACAAGTATTTCAATAAATAGACGTGATGTACAGATAAAGATAGTGGCACTAATAACAACTAATATTAGTCAAAAGTTATTACAGAATGTTTTATATCATTGTACGATAACTGTCATTTGTAAAAATACTTTCTCCATCTTTTTCAATTGGATTCTAGTGCAAGAATTTAAAAATTATCGAAATTCGATTATGTTGATTCTACATCCCGAGTTAAGCTTTCTTTTAGAAACGTTTGAAACAGTTGAGCCTTCAACTCCAACTCTACAACTTTGATTCTCTAACAGTTTTGGATATTATTACATCGCATCGGACTTTTTCGTTTCATAACGCGTTCAACATAATGTTCAATGTTGATATATTCTACGTGCTAACCACATCAGCATCGGCAGAAAGGGTGTTTTCTGAAAATGATTTTTTTTTTCCGATGTAGAATGAGAAAAGGTACGCTTTCAAAATTAATGACCTTGAAATGTAATTTTGAAAAAAATGACTTTTTTGTGCGTCCCCTTGTAAAAAAGCGAAATAAACAACTGCTCACTTTAAAAAAAATGTGCCGCATTATTGTGTTGCAGGTGGAAGAGGGAATACGTGTCGTAAACGAGTGTTGTCATGTATCATTCTCCGATATCTTGCGACCCCACGTGTATAAGTGCCATGGATACGTTCTAACCTTATCTCAAAAAGTAGAGCTCTTAGAGATTGTTAAGCGACATACTGAGACTCAGGGCGTCGAAGTCTGAGATCTCTTTTTCTAAAAAAAGGCGAAAATATGAACTTTAACTTTGGACGATTTTTGCGATGTGACACACGTGTGATACATGTGTGACAGACTAATGTGCCGCCGTATTCAACACATGCGGCAAATTATTTTTTAGAGTGCTAATAAAATAAAGGGAAATAATAAAACAAGGATGAATAGTGCTTATTGAAGTTGAAAATGTGATTGGAGTTGGTCGGAGTTGTCAATTTCTGATGTAAATATTGTCTGACAGATGAATTTAATACATTATTCCGGACATCTTTCTTTATACGTGTTTCCTTTATTCGTGCTGTTTTTGATATAATATTTTAAATCACAATCTTTGCATAAAATTCGATAGACTAACTTCGATTTCTTATTTATTATCATGTCTTTTCTGAAGTGATAGAAATATCCTTTCATAACTGATGGTTTTTGAAACGCATAATTGATTTTCACGGTTGCTAATAATTGATGACATATTTTTCTGATACATTCCCATTTATAACAAAATTGTCTCTTGTGCATAGTATGATAAGGATGAGAAAAATTAATTTTGTTGCAGTTTATTGCTGTCGTCGTTAGTTGACACGTGATCGACAGTTGTCCTTATATACATCCTTTCATTTGTTAATTTTTCAAAGAGTTAAGTAATCAAGATAATCATGATTCTTCAATATGTATTTCCATTGTTCGTTTTCTAATTTTAAGTTTTTGAATATTGAATATATATATCCGATATGTCGATATATCACAATACGTTCTGTAAGAGATTCTTTTCCAGCTTTTGATAGAATATTGAATTTTGCTCTTTCAATGTCACAAGCTTTTTATCAATGTTCATGTAACATTCAGCATAAAAATGAAATAAACTAGAGTTGATGTATTTTTTTCGAAAAAACAGTAACAAATGATTCAGGTCAAATAAGGATGATTAACATATTTTATTTATAACTCAAAACCGATCGATTATCAGAGGTGTTGTTACAGAGATTTATAATGCTATTATTTATCGTGAATCTCATTTATGTGTTTACAGATCTCCTCACAATGTGCATCGATCGGGATATTTAGTCAAAAATCGAAAGTGTGGTTTTTCAGATTGAGACACTGGATAATATACTCTGATATATGGGCTATCTAATGTCGAAACAATTTTGATTCTAACTATAAAGGATCGTCTGAAAACGCTTGGTCAAAAACGGGTGTAAAAAGATGACATTGGTTGAATAAAAGCAACTTTCCTATAAGATCCAACGAAGTTATAATTAAAAATCATCCATAATCTGATTCTAGGCGCATTGTACTACGTAATACGATTTCAACGATTTCGTTTTTGACCCAAAACATCGGAAAAAATTACTTTCCGAAAAATCTTAGTTTTCTTAAACATGTGATCAGTATAATGAGTTTACTCAAATTTGCTAAATCAAAAATACACCAAAATGTTCGTCTATGTGTCCTGTACCTATAGTGCATGCATAAAAATGCATAAACTTTTCCGGGCTTTTCTCGAGATTTTCCAAAAAAAACAATAGATTTTTAAGATAAAATTCATATTTTTCGGTCCAGGAACGCTTTATTGAAAAATAAGATCATATTCAGAATCAATGTAAGAACTGCATCGGACGATGTATGACATATAAATGTTTCAGAAAAGTCTTTTGAAAAACAATTTAGATAAGGCTCCTCCACCTTATAGCTTTTTGGCCAAAAGTTTTCTAAAATAATTTTTTTTTGCTTTAGAATAATTCTATGCGCAATAGACAATGATTTCTGATCACAGAATAACATTTTTGATGAAAAAAATCTGATGTCCGCATCGAACGATAAGGTTTTCCAAAAGCCATCCTCTGGAATATCATGAAGAAAACACTTCGAAATTTTTTTTACTTAAACCATGAGAATGAGCATATATGAAAACCTATAAAAAAGTGTCTTCCTAAACTCCCAAATGTTTTTTTTAAGAAGTTACAGCACGTGTCTGTATCATAAGCCAAAATTGCTCACTAAGAGGGGTCCTTCTTACAAATTCATCTCAGGTTAAGTCTATTTTACCTTAACTAAGGCTCTAAAATAACATTTTTTGTCAAAAATACGCCGTCTGATGACCGTATTAGCCTTCAAACTCCATCAGTCTTTAGAAATCAATGGCCAAGTAGATAATGTTCTCGTTCAATATCATTCTGAAACAAACTATACATTTATTGTTAGCACAATTGTACATTTCTATAACACGAATCATAATATTTTTCAGGACAATAATCTTCTGTTACCTGTCGTATTGGATTAATACTCGAAATAAACTGGAAAAATTCAAAATCTTTTTGATCAAGTTTTAGAAATGCAATTGACTTTCTCTCAGGTATAATATACCTCTCTGTTTCTTTCATACCCACGCAAAGATCGCAAGTCTAAGTATATCTCTCCACTAGACTGTCGCTCCATAAAGATTCACTACAATGAAGTAGTGAGCAAAAAGAATAATTATACTATGGCATCACAAAGAAAGCGTAAAGGGATTGGTTTATAGGATGTTTTAACAAAAATGCTGCTGCTGCTTACGTTCTTGTTTTCTGAAAAAAAATCTCTTTTACAGAGCTCTCTGTACTGCATGACTTGTCATTCGTATGTTTTTAACAACGGTTGCGACAAGTTGTTGATAGCTTGACACAATGTATATTAACAGAAAACAACACAGATCAATAAAATCATTTCATATTTTCCATTTAGATGACAACATATAAATAACTATATTCGTTTTAAATAGTTTTACCAACATGAAGTATTTGTTGTAGGAAATGCAGGCAATATTCAACAAATTTTTATCAAATTTTATTTATGAAATCAATGCGAAGAAGGTTTTGTCATGTAAATGTACAAAATAATTAAAGCACTAAAAAATAAAATTATACAATAGAATTTATTATCTTCTTTTGATCTGAGTTATTGCAGATGAGTATTATATAGGTACGAACTGACCCTTACAAGAAAAAATAAATATAAATATTTATAAAAATAGAACCAAAACAAAAATCTAGTTACAAAAATGTACGTACATTTTATCCTATTAACATATTAGAAAACTCAGCATAGCTGCAATAATAATAACTATGAATATTTTGACAAAACTTGGTCGTTCGATAAACGATGAACGTCCAAGAACGCTGGCATCATCAACATTATCGTTAAAACATGCTATCATCTCTTCACGTTTTCCTTGTGATTGTTGCGATGTTGCAGTGTAATTAGTCTTTTCGCTCACTACTTCATTATGGTGAACCTCAAAACGTCTACTTAAACAAAATTCGGTGCCATCTGAATACAACTGTTGAATTGGGGTACCCTTCATCAGTGCGCTGCCACATGCACGATACATATTGTCACAATATGATCGACATACATGAAGACGCTCCGACCGATAAAAGCGATGTTGTTCCGGTGAGCAAATGTAACACATTAAAACATTTAAAAAACGTGTACATAATGGAGAAGAGCCAATAAGTGGGCGAACCTAAAATTTAAAAAACAGAAAGAAAGATATAGAAGTATCACCATCAAAAGTCGAATCTTCATGGAGTAACAGTCTAGTAGAGTATGATATGTTTAGACTTGTAATATTTGCATAGATATAAAAGAAACAAAGAGGTATATTATACCTGAGAGAAAATTAGTTGCATTTCATTATCTCGACAACAACTATTTTTATTAAACCATGTGCAATTGCTTAGTCCCGGTTGTGGACTCGGTGCACGATTAGAAAAAAATGAACAATATGGTTGTTCAAAAGGAGATGACGGTGATGTAAAATATTGGTCAGTAGTGATTGAAAATTTGATTTTACAAAATAATATGATAATAAATAGATTTAAGTAAAAATTGATAATGATAGATTGCGAACAATAAGACATATGACTGGAGAAACAAAAAATGTGTGGTTTCTAAATGTTCATTTGTTTTGATAATTCAAAATATGCATCTAAAATAAACAGAGATAAATAGGTGATCATTTTAATCAATTAGTTTGAGAACAGTCTCATTATCGTCTCAAAAAAATCTAGACAACGATAGTTTTATATGTTCTTGTTGTTTGTACAGTAAATTCAGTGAAGAAAAATAGCGAAAAGTAAAAAAAGAATAAAGAAAAAAAAGAAAAAAAATCAAAATTAATGAAATAAAAGATCAAGATAATCTTAAATATTTACTGCTAAATTTGATTTCTTGTTCAACTCAGGTTTTGATCCATATTTATGTTAACATACAAGAAATTTGAAATGGAAATGAATGTAATACAAAACAAAGAAAACATAATAAGAAAATAGAGTAGAAATACAGTTATGTAACAAAAAAAAAGAAGAAGAACAATAATAACAATAATATCAGAGAAAGAAAAAAACTTAAAAAAACTTTTACTGCCCGATATTTTGAACTGGAGGCGGCTGAGCTGGTGGTGGTTGATCTACTCGTGGAGGCTCCTGTGTCATAAATAATCTATTTGCCCGTTGTCGACGTATTGTATATAGATAACCAATTAAAGCACCAAGCACCGCCATCAAATATACATCACCATAGGAAGTTAATGATGAGGTGAAATTAAAGTGGAATATTGATTCTGAATACTAGAAAAAACAATAACAAAAAAGAATTAGAAGTGAAATTTTTATCAATGATATGAGCATCATGTACCACTCTGCATTTTTCCCAAAATAATTCTAAATGTAGCTTGAATAAAACAATGGCCACCGGTAATTGTGCATCAGTACTTGTCTCAGCAGCCATATCATAAAATCGTTTTGCCAAATGAATATCCTAGAATCAAAAACGTCTCATTTGTATGATGAATTGAATGATTTATTTATTTATACAATGAACTACCTTTTTAAGTCCTAAACCTTTTTCATGCATATAAGCTAAATTGAACATGGCTTGTGGATTTGGACTTTGATCACTGGCAAGTTTATAATGTGTGGCGGCTATTTCGTAACTTTTTTCTGTGCCATAACCATAAAAGTAATAATCTCCTAGTTTAACTCGAGCAGCATGAAATCCTTGTACAGCTGCACGATTCCAATAGATTAATGCTCGACGATAACATTCACTTTTAAATGGATAGATACTAATTTGAGATTGATCAAGAATATAGGCAACATTTGATTGTGCTGTCTCGTAGCCTAGTTCCGCTAGAAACAAATATTTTCCTAATGCTTGATCAATATGTCCTTGTTTGTATAAATGATAAGCTTCACTAAACATCGATGACCATCGGCCTCGTTCAGCCACAGTTTTAAACAGTTCAACAGCTGTCGAACATGAACGAAGAACACCCGTTCCAGTTGAATGCATCTGTGCCAAATTGTAATAACCGAGTGCATGTCCCGATTGAGAGGCAGCATTAAAATATTTCACAGCCATTTTGTAATCACGTTGTACACCATCACCATTATAATACATAATTCTAAATAAAATAAATATTATTCATACTAAAAACATAATAAAAAACTTTAAATTCACATACCCTAACATTAAAAGTCCTTCAACGTAACCTTGATTAGATGATAATTGAAAATATTTCAATGCCTTTTCAAAATTTTTCTCAACCCCAGCTCCATAATAATACATCATACCGACACCGGCTTGTCCCATTGGATTATTTTTCTCCGCAGATTTTTGAAAATAATTTAATGCTGTTATATTATTTTGTTTAATATAGTCATTTTTCTCAGAAAATAATTTTCCTAAATAGGCCATTGCATTTGAATTTCCACCCTCCGCAGCCAAACGAAAATAATGTAATGCTTTATCGAATGCTGTATCTCGTAAATAATATAATTGACCAAGTCCATACTAAAATAAGAGGACAAAATTATACATCAAATCTAAGAATTCAAATTAACAACGAAAAGTTCTTAATGAAATAGCAAAACAGTACCTGCGCTTGTGTATCTCCTCTATCGGCAAGTAACTGATAATACTGAAGGAGATCATCATCAACCATTATATTATTCTGACTCGGATGTTCTTCTTCATCATATAAACGTATTCTTTGAATTAATTGACCAGTAGAGGAAGTAATTTTACTTGCAACTACAGAAAAAGAACATCAGTGTACAATTAGCGAAACTAACAAGAAATCATGTTCTCATTTAATTTTACCCTCCGTTGCAACTTGTTTGTAATAAAGTAAAGCTGTTTCACAGCTATGTGGAACACTCACTGCTCTCCAGTATCGATAACCCTAAAGTACCAATAAACAAAAGTGATAGAAATTTGCAACAGTGTGCAATGAACGTACCAAAGCCATTTGAGCTAAGCTATCACCATCAATAGCAGCAAACGTCAAATAAACCAACGCCTAAAAGAAACAAATGTAGATAAAATAACATCTCTCCCTCTGTTTATGTGTATGTTACTAACCTTTGGAATACTCGAATTGGCAATTAAACCAGCACTGTGCATAAATGAAAGACCCTAAATATAACAATTTTTTGATATCGAATCCAAACCTTGTTTTTGTATACTTACAAAATGGGACCTTGGTGATCCTTGAAGAATACCTTCTTCAAAATATAATTTCGCACGGGTAAAATTCAATGGTAGATGTTCACCTATCAAATGTTCCATTGCCAATTCTTCTTTTGCTTCAATACTGCCAAGATCAGCTGCTCTTAAAAACGTCTTGTATGCTCTAGAAGTGAATATATAATGACTAAAGACATGGAATGATGACCTCCACACTTACTCAGCATGGTATTTCTTTGTTTCATTGATTAATTTTATACCCTTATGATACAAATTATTGGCTAATTCTAATTCTGGTGTTAATGGTTCATTTTTCTCGTCATCATCTTCTAATTCTTCAAACATTGTTGTAGTGGTTGCACTTGATTGTCTAATATCATTATCTTCGTAGTTAAATTGTTCTTGACCGTCTTTTAACAAATCTGTCTTCGATGAGGTATCTTCAGCTTCATCAGTTTCTATCCATCCAGCTAAATGAACATTTAACCAACATTTATTCGAAGAAACTATGTTATTAATCAATAACATATCACGGAGAAACAGACTCACTTAAATTTGGTAGATACTCACTAATAGTTCTTTCTTGCTCATCGTTTTTTTTCTCAACTTCATCAATTGAATTTGTCATTGTATCAGTGTTAGACGGTGTTGTCGTCGTAGTCGTAGATGTTTCATCCTCTTTCGTTGCAAATCGTATTTTGATTACTTGTTGATTTGATTGCTTTAGATTCATTAATAATGGCTTCGCTTTTTTTAATGTCCGCTGAAGCTGTTCGATCGTTTTTGTTAATTTGTTTTGATTTGATAATGGTGTTTCTTTTGTCGTTGAGAAATCACCCATTGGCTCATCCATAACGTTTTGTTCATTGATGTTTATATTAAAATCTGCCAATGCTTTTTTTAGCTGCTTTAATACATCGGCTGTATTTTTTTCTTTCACACTATCGTCACTATTCAAATCGTTCGTGCTTGTGTCTTCTAAATGTTGATTTTTACTCGATAATTCACTTGAACTTACTGTTAAATCGTCATCTTCAGCATTATATTTGTCAGTGTTGTCAGTATTCTCATCTATCTTTGTCTCTGATACATCATCTAAGCTATCGGATGATTCTGTAATTGCTTGTTTTGGTTCTTGTTTATTTGATTCATGCTGGAATAAAAAATAAGTGAGCTATTTAGAATAATTTGAAATATCGCATAGAAAATTACCTGTGGAACTGTTACTGATAATAGTTCTTCAGCTTTTTTCTTTTCTCCATTGTGCTGATTCTGATCAATAGCAACACCTTAATAGATAGATATAGATTGAATAAAATGAAATGTAGAAAATACTACATAACTTACTAGCCCTCAAATAAATCAAAATCACGATAAGAAACAGAGAAATATGATAATCCTGTTGCCAGATATAATGGCAAAGTGTGCGCATCTAAAATACATTACCAACCACTGCTTGTGCTTAAATTCTATCAAAAACGTTTTTATCACCATTGACCTATCATTTTATGAAGAAAAAATATTTTAAAGATGGTTTTCGATAAATGAGCTATTTTTCCGTTTACTTTCTTTCAGACTAATAAAACAAAATAATAATATGTATATAATAGAAACAACAAGAGAAAATAATAACAAAAAAATAACAAATGTACAACATATAAAACAGATGTTCTGATTAAATTTACATCCATGTCTCTTTTTCATTCTCTATTGTTCAACTTAAATGAATATTCTTTCTTTTAGTTTGTTTACAATTTAGGAGAAATAAATTCATTTAAACGAAGAAAAACAAAATTCAGAAATTTTCAATGTGAAATAAGAAAACAACGATGATATGATGAACAAAATGAAAAACATAGATAAAAAAAACACAGACGTATTTTATCATTAATATATTCGTTGAAGTTCATCATAAAAAAAGGGCAGAAAGTTTTGCATTCACATTCTGCTCACATCTGCACGCAAAAAAAATGAAAAAAAAGAAGCAATAGTCCAAAATTTAAAATAGAAATGTCAGGTATTGTAAGGTCAAACCGAATTTATTGATCAAGAGTAAAAATCAATTATCAGATTTACCTTCGCGCTATATTTGATTCAGATCAAAGACCAGATACGATTATGAAAAACATACTGTGTATATCTTCCGTGGAATTAACACTATAGGAAGCTATGGTTAACGGAACGGATTAAAAATTAAAGAATAGGCTAACAGGAAACTTTTTACATTATTTCTGTTGATCATACAAGATTCAGAGAATCGCAACTATACTAACTATACTAGTTCTGTGTCTAAGCTTCTATCTCATGACTAGTAAAAATTCATATTTGCTAAAGTAAAGGTAGTTTGCTGAAGGAAACTACTGAAGAAAATATTGAAGTCAAACGGACTTGCCAATAATGGCTCAGCAATATTCTTTGACACCGGTACACAAACATACAAAGTTGAAGTATTTTGTTCATGATCTTGTTGTAGACTGAGATAGTTAAATTCTCGCCGATAAACACGCACACATAATATATACATACACAAGAATGTCTCTTGCTCATTAAGACATTATTTACACAAGCATAGAAAAACTTAGCTCTACATCTATGCACTAATATTTTTGTTTTCGTCAAACACAAGAAACTAAAGAAAAATGAGGATATGAGAGTTTGTCTTCGAGAGTTGTACCAGAGTTGTACAGATGACGTTTAATTTTTCTTTTCATCTCGCTGTGCTTCAGCATGAATTCGCTGGTGTTCATTATGAATACTTCGACTAAACGTATGACGTTCAGTTGATTTGTCTAATTTACCGTCTACACCATTTTTACCATTATTTAAATATTCATCATTATCGTGACCGTTAATGGATTGAGATGAACGAGAAGAAACTGAGCGACGTTTTGTTGACAATTTTTTTTCTTTTCCTATTGTTTGGCGTTTTCTATCATTTGGAATGGAATCACCATTATCATCATAAGAACGTTTTAAATTTTTTGTTGATGAACGATGGTTACTATCTTCACTTCTATCATTGTGACGATTAGACGATGATGAACAAATATTTCGAGTTTCATGAGATTCACGTAGTGAAAAATCAGATAATGATGTTGGATGAGCACTAAAAACATCAACATAAGATTCAAAAAGGTTCATTTATTTTTGAAAGTAATAAGACAACGAATTTAACTTACTTCTCTCGATCTTGACTAACACGTATAATCCTGCCTTTCAAATTTGTACAATCAAAACGTTTGATCGCATTTTGCATATCTTTACATGATATGAATTCAACAAATCTAAACAAAGAAACAAACAAAAAACATTATAAGGTATTGCTAAAGAAAAAGTCTACATACGCTTCATGTGTATTACGTCGATGAGCATCGGCATAGGTGACTTCTCCTGCTTCTCTCATTAAATCTTTCAAATCCTATAATAAATTAAAATGATCTAAAGATCTGCGTGAGATGAACTTATCTTCGGGGAGAGATAAAAAGATTTGAGATTCTTTTCAGAAGAGAAGTAATGTTAAGGAAGAAAACAAACATTATTTTTATGTCTATTTGTTGTTTAGATGTTTCGAATAATCTATTTGTTGGAATACTATATTCTACTTGGTGCAAGGGACTAACGTAATGTTTTTCTAGAATAATTTCAGAAAAAATGCTCACTTCGTGAACAAAACTTATTTTTGTATTCATGAACAGTAAAAATTTGTCTAGGAAGATCGCTAAAACCATCTCTAATTTATTAAACCATTTGATTGAAGCGTACATACCTGCCAGGAGACTCGTCGGGAAAGATTTGTAACAACAATTCTAAATGCTGTTCTTGTTGGTAATCCATATTTATCTATCCATGCCGGTTTTTGAGAAGAAGACGAGCCGGAGTAAACTTTTCTTTCTCTTGAACTTTCACGATGTCGTTGTTTCGATGATGTGTACTTGTTACTGAATGTGGATGATGAACATTTATAACTTCGATCACGTTCTCTTTCTGGTGTACGATGACTACGGCCGTTAGTTGATGATCGATATGGTGAGGGAATCGGTGGAGGGTTACTGTGACGGGGTAAACGATCTTGATCAGCATAACAGATACCGGCACTGCCATGTACATGTTCAACAGTTATTCTTTCACCAAGTACAGTTTTTCCGTTTAGATTATGTGCACATTGACACGCTTGATGCCCATCATAGAAATCGACAAAAGCATATGCCCCTAAATATAAAAATTATACTAATAACAATCCTATTTTAATATAATGCGAATGACCTACCTTTAAAATGAACTTGTTTTATTTCGCCATATGACTCAAATAACTTTTCTATATCACGTTTCAACGTGCGAGGATTCAAATGCCCGACATACAATGTTGACATGGCGGCTTCTTTCTCTTTCGGGACTAAACGTCTTCTAAGAAAGGCCCCAAATAGCAATAAACTTATTAGAAATGTACAGCAACAAATTTTTCCATCGCTGACCAACTCGATGGAACTGGAGTCGACTAATCAAAATATAGAAAAAAACCTCTATATGTCTAATCGTATCGCTGATGGCGTGCGTCATCGTTATTTGACGTGTATAGTTTACTCTTAAGAATTTGTTCTATGATACAATAATGATACAATACAATGATGATAGGGACACGCAATTATTACTTCCATATCGTTTAGTTTTTAGAGACATGTTTTACTTCCTTCAGCAAAATTGTTTATGGCCTTTTGCTCCATAGTCTTGAGGTTGAGTTCATCGTCACTGCCACAGATTTAGAAACTGATCTAAAAGTAATAAATAAACGCTTTTTCGTACAAACTATCAGAAAACACTCATAACACTCGTCTAGGTTGAATAAAATAGAATATTTCAAGAATAAATCATTTATATTTCATTAAGAGAGCTTTTAACAAAAACGTTTCTGTTGTTTCTGAAAATCGATTTTCAAATACCTTCGCCAGCTTTTCGACGCTTTTTTACCTATTGTTCACCGGTTTGAGGTATAATTTCAACTGGTCAGACCGGACCGGTTTACTGTTTCCCAACCGCTTCCAGCACTGCTTGTTGTCGGAAGGAGTAGAACGCAGTGAGTGTTCGTAAATGAAAATAGACACCTAAATCTAAAATTTGATCCGTAGCGATTTTTGAATTTCGCCTCTGTGCATTCCCTATACGTATTTTAAGTCAGAACTCTGAAATTAATTGTAATTCGGCGGAGTATTTGCCACTTATCTCTGCACAGAAAAGGAAATTGAAAAATCGCAACGGATCAAATTTTAGATAAATGTCTTAGCTTTAAAATAAAAAAACAATAAAGGTTTTACGATGAAACGTCTAGGAGGAGACACAATTTTGCAGCGCCAAAACCATATTCTAACCAATGACGTTCCCTAGTCGAGATTCCCGGCAAAACTCCCACGGGACTCCTGTCACGGGATCCTGTAGGAGTCAGATGGGACTTTCAAGGGATTTCTCAGGACTCCCGAAGACTCCCGTGTGACTTTGAGTATTCTGAGGACTTTCGTTGGACTCCCGCAGGACTCGAAACCTCCACAGAAGTCCCACTGGAGTCTTCAGGAGTCCTGAGAAATCCCTTGAAAGTCCCATCTGACTCCTCCAGGATCCCGCAGGACCCCGTGACAGGAGTCCCGTGGGAGTTTTGCCGGGAGTCTCGACTAGGGTCATCATTTCGTTAAAGTAGTGCTGGAAGACATTTAAATGTTCCCCAGCAATGCCTGAACATCTTTGGATAAATAAATTGGGCTTTAATACTAAGATTGACGGTTGATATCAACTAACCAACATTTACTGCCTGCATTGCGAAAAAAAAGTGCTCGTTGGTAAGGTTTAGGGCATATCCAAGTGTTCTAAGTGCGTCACAGTCAATGTGAAAACAAAAAACAGGGTACTTTCATGTGCCCTAAACGTCACCAAAGGACACTTTTTTTTACAGTGTGTTTCCACTAAGGTTGCATCGTAAATATTCTATCGCAGCAGTGCTGCACAAACAGTCTGCTGAAGAGCACTTGGCTACACTGTCAGTACTCCTCGTATTTCCAGGCAATGATTGAACACTGACCAATTGGTATTCAGGCACTTGTTGGGAACACTCAAATGTTTTCTACGTGTCCCACGCGGCGTATGTGTTCGAGAAAAGTTGTGTATTTTTTTATCCCATGTGCACTGTATCTTCATCGATCTTATTGTAATCTGACAAACATCAGCTTTTTTCGTGTTATGATCAGGGTTCTCAAATGTCCCCCCAAGATATGCTGCCCTTTTTAGCATATCTTGTCATAAAAATCATTATCATATAGGTGTTTGGATAGTTTGTAGCAAATAGAATTATTCTGAGATTCGAGCCGTCTCCCCCAAAACATCACTCTTTCTGTCGTGCGCGTCTCAAGGTTTATCAGACGTGTGATATGAATTTGTCTATAAAACCTAATTGAAAGGAAAAAAATCTATTGTTTGAAATTTGAAAAATTAGCTTTGAAAGAATGAACTCTAAATTAGAACTATAAGAAGAAACGACAGTGTAATTCTAACGATAAATGGTTAAAAAATTCACAATATTGATTTTATTTCACAACATTTCTTCGTCATGTTTTTTCTGTAAATACCTTCACCTATTCAAGCTGTACAATATACTGTCTTTTGTTTTTCTTATATTTCAATAATGAAAAAGAGAGTTATGAGTTCTTTCCCAGAATATATCTAACCAATATCTATATGTTCTGAAGATACCAGATTTCTACTTTACTTCTACAAAAAATTCTAGAAGTTTTACTAACTGCATTGAGAAATAGATATGTACCAGTTTACTCAGTAATCAAGAGTCCCTCAGAGTTGTAGAATATCTCATTTTGTAGCGAAATGTTTGCTTTACAAAACTTACTGGTCCAAAAGCTTTTAAAATTAATTATGTTGAAAATACGGGTGTTGAAAAACCTATTATAATATAATAATCGATGATTAATGTTGTAAACTCAAGGATTGATAGAATTGCTATTAACAAGAGATAAAAAGCATCACGAAAACGTTTAACGAGACAAACAATAGTGCAACTACTTACCATTATGAGCGATATAGATTTTCCCTACCTATCTAAAAACGAGACTTTGTCTAACAAAAATAGTTAAATTTTAGTAAATTTAGTTTAATAAATATCAGTTACACAAATAACACTTATTTTGAATGTTTTTCTTCAGAAAAAGAAGGTAGAATTTGTTATCGTGCATGTCAGTTCTATTCTATAGTAAGATTAGAACATGGAATGACTAATAACAGGCTTAATTTATTTTGCATTGGGAATAAGCCTTGAAATATATGAGATTTCTAAGCAAATAACAATGCTTTGTGAATCAGACGAAGAGCATCAGAAAAAATACGACTTGCTACCACTCATACACTACGTTTTACTCTGTTTGATACTGTAATTGAAACTAGAATTAATTAAGCATCAGATAGTAAAGGTTAATAAAATAAGCCATTCATTTCACATTTTTACCTTTTATTATTCAATAAGTAGATTAAAATAAATAAATAAATAAAATGAAAGACAGGAAAAGCAGTTAGTTTTAAAAATTATTTAAGCTGTCGCAAAAGGTCTCTATTCTATAGTTCTCTTAGAAGGTAGGCGTACAATTATAGACGAATAAAGTAAAAACAGTATTTCTATGAAACTATGGTTAAAAATGAGTCGTATAGTAATCGAAAAAAATCAAGGACGCAGAAATGTAGTCAGTCAGTCATATGTTTACTAAGGACTAGAGAACTATCACACAGCTGAATACAAAAATATTACGATTCTTTTGATCCCCACGTTCGATATGTATTGATAAAATTTAACAATCCATTTATTGATGGGTCATGTGCTGTCACCGGTTTAGTTTTGTCTAATTCAGGTAGGATAATTTTTGCCAATTTTTTTCCTAATTCAACTCTAAATTGATCAAACGAATTAATATTCCAAACAACTCCTTGTACAAATATTTTATGTTCATAAAGAGCAATTAAATAGCCTAATGTAAAGAGTGTTATATGCGGTAATATGATAGAATTTGTTGGACGATTACCACGAAACACTTTATGATATTTCAGCGTATTATCTTTCATATCTTGTCCTTCTTTTCGAAATTCATCTTCAACTTCTTTTTCTGTTTTACCACGCATTAATGCTTTCGTTTGTGCTAAGAAATTAGCCAATAATATTTTATGATGTATATGATTACGAATTGGATTATGTGTTTCAATTGGTACAATAAAATCACATGGAATCAACTTTGTCTTTGTCCCTTCGTGAATTAATTGATAAAATGCATGTTGACCGTTTGTCCCAGGCTACCGAAAGAACATGAAATAGTAATAATTATATCATAAAGAGGCACATGTGTATAATCGACTTGTGCACCATTTTCTGTGCAATATTTACCATTACTTTCCATATCGTCTTGTTGAAAATAAGCAGCAAAACGATGCATATGTAATTAACTGTTCCATTATCTGACAATAAATTTCGTTTTTCAAAATTTCCTAAACAGAAACATCAGCGATATCTCATTTTATTTTATTTGTATCAATAGAACTGACATACATGTTTTAAAGCTGGATCAAATATGGCATCTGTTAATTCATTGATCGCTCGTCTTCGTCATGATCACCCATATATTTTAATATATTCATAAAACAAGTACACCTTTCTCCATTTAAATCTTTGTTTTCTTGTAATCTTTCTAGTAGTGGTTGTTTTAACGGTCCGTTTTGAAAGGCCCATATTTTGTCACTATTATTATAACCACGACGAGCAAATGTATTTGACCATGTTCGTTTTGATGGTAATCGAAAGTTTGATTCAGCATATTTTTCTAGGGTATAACCATGCTCAACATGAAAATCTGCTCCATAATTTCCATCAGTCAATAAATTTTCATTTTGTTGATTATTCACATCTGTTCATTGTAAAATAAATGTTTGTAAAATATCTTGTGATGGTTTTGACATTGTTGGTAGTATACAGACACAGTCGCTGGGAAATTCACCGGTTAAACCTGTGCGTTCGTTATAATCAGACAACCAATATGGAGTTTTAATAATAGCACTTGCTGTTCTAGGAGGATGACTAGTATTTGAATTACTGTTGATTATTGTAGTATTAAAATCATCTTGTAAAGTTGTCAGATCACCGTGATGAATAGACAAACCTTGGCCACGTTCTAAAAAAATGAAGTAATCTTAATTAACAGACATATTTACGATGAATTTATGCAAAATTAACTATAAATTTTTATCTGATGGTTCATAATCTTATACAGCACACAACAAATTTTGATTTTCTTTTTCAACCTTCTAGAAAATTGATAACTAAATCTTTGATATCGTCAGCATTATAAAAAGCCGAAAAAGCGGAAATTTTTTCCAGAATGCGGAAAAAAAGCGAAAACGCATTTGTCGCCGTATTAGTTCAGTTTTCACCAAACCCAAAGAGGATCAAAAAATTTTTTTTCAGCGCTTTATGGTGATTCCGCTTAAGAAACACAAAAGTACAAAACATCATTTAAATCAATACTGGCTTTTGTGGATGCGCGTTTTTGATCAGCCGTTATAAATTTCAAGAGTTATGTATGGCAGGATAAAATTTAATTCGAACCTTTCCCGCCCACGAGGGCACTTCATGATTAAGATTTTGTGACCGAGTTGCCTTCCTTGAAGATTTAGTATTTCACTATTTTTCACACTCCATTTCAGCAGCACTTGAGACAAGCTAATGTTTTTCTGTTACCGCTCACTTACGGGGCAAATTTCTAGTTTAGTTCCCAAAACAGTGTGCACATGTATGTCTTTTTGGTGCGACTTCTTAAATTTCATTGCCTTAAAGAAAATACAAAAATGGAGCGCTACAATACAAGTGATTATAACGCAGTTTACCAGCGTCACGTATTTGAGCATTGCTTGAAAACAAAATACTTGTTCTGATAAAAGCCTTTTACGTTGGATGACGTTCAGAATAGGGGTGCATCGGTTATTTTTTCGTATTTTTCAAAAATTCACAATAAATGTTTTGTATTTTCATAAAAACGATTCCCTAGTCGAGACTCCCGGTAAAACTCCCACGGGACTCCTGTCACGGGGTCCTGTAGGAGTCAGGTGGGACTTTCAAGGGATTTCTCAGGACTCCTGAAGACTCCCGTGGGACTTTGAGTATTCTGAGGACTTTC